TTTCATACTATTATATATATATATATATAATAGTATGAAATATAAGTTTTTTGTTGAGTATATTCAAACAGAGTTGTTGACATAAACTTGATTGTAAATGGCGGTATTTTGCAGTATAACTGTTGTTACAGCAGTTCATCTTAAGGGGGAGGGGGGATTTATTTTAGATGGGAGTTAAGAATTTTAACAAAAATACTGTTTTTTTGCTTCTTCAGGATGACAATCAGGAGCGAGAATATCGAATTTTACATGCATCCAGCAATTTTCCTGAAGGAGCTGTACGACGGGCAGCAGAAAAAGCTGCTCGAAGTTTTCAAAGCACTCAGCCAAAGGTTAGTTGGTAATCACTCAAGTAAAAAACCATTTTTCCCGTATCTAACTCTAGAATAATAGTGTTCATCTGAGCCATAACGGGGCAGCATTTGTGTTTTTTTATAATCTATATGTTGATATTTTTCAGCTTTTCATATAAATGTTATTGCATAATCAGTTTCTTAGAGCAGCAACTTGTCTTCTTGAAAAAGAAAAACAATTGATGTTTTGTAACAGAAAAAAGTGGACTTGGATTGTTTAAGGAGCATTAATTAAATCCGCTTAATAATTCCTGATTTACTGTCTTAGACTGTATTATTTGCTCATGCCAAATTTTTACTTGCTTATTTCAGTCAAATTAGCGGTTACTGACAATACAAAAACAAGTAATTTCAGTACTTAACATAAGCAAAGAAAAGCTGAAGAGATTGCATAATGTTGCATCAGTTTCTGCACCAATGTATATGTCGCTTAACCTTTGAAAGAACCATTCTTACCAATTTTTTTCTTTATTTGTCTACTGGAATTTAAAAAAAATTCCTCAAATGTAGGTCTGTTATTTAGTCTTTTTTGGCAACTACTGGCTCTTAAATGTTGGTTCACCGTACTTTACTATATTATATCTCAATTTTTACTAGAAACACGCATCAGTAATGTTAGATTTTGTTTTTCAAATTAACAATATCTCAATTATTATGATACTGTTTTCTAAGTCAATGTTGAGTAGCGAAGGTAAACGAAAAAAAAAGTCAACAATAAAAAAGTAGAAAAAAAGGAAGATAGAAGAAAAATAAATAAATAAAACAGTAGCATAAACCACACTTAATCATTCTTGAAGAAGTTTGATCTGCCTTGTAAGCTACGGCTGAGTATTAACAACAGCGGCTCTAGCAGCAAAATGAGAATCAAGAACGAGAGCAAAAGGGAAAACAATGACAAGAAAAACAATAGTGATAGAAACAAAAGCAGCATTAATAAAATTAAGAACAGAAGCAATGATAATAGTAATTGTAATAGTGGTAATAAGAAAAAAAAATATAGTATTATCACCACTGTTATTATTATTATTATTATTGTTACTTTTATCATGATCATTACTGTACTGACGACTGTAGTAATAATAATACTTATGTTATTTTAAACACATGTTATCTTAAATAACGTTGTTTAAAAAATTAAAAATAAACTGGTCTTTGTAACTCTTTTCTCCTGTCTTTCTCAATTCCGTTCCTTTCCTTTCTTCTATATCCGCTCTCCTAAGCCTGTTCGCTGTTCGGAGAGTATTTACCACCGCAGCAAAAAGGTTTGCAAAATTAAGCAACACTATTACTTGTATCTGTAATTTCATCTACAATAACACGTATTTAAGTGCTGAAAACAGAGCCAAAAAGGTTGTTTATTTATTTATTTGTTTTTTTTTTTTTCACTGCACTGCTATACCCACTTGAAATGCATTTACTGAATTGTTATTTTTGAATAACAGCAGTAACATCAAAACAAATAATTATGATTTAACAACACCATAAATATAATTGCGTACGATGCGTTTATGTTGAAAACCGTATTCTGTTGCTGTTTTCATTGTTAGTTCAATCAGGCAGAAACTAATGTAGAATAATAGTAAAAATAGCAATGAATAGTTTGAAAAAAAAAAAAACTCTTCTTTTTTCAGCAGAAAAATTTATTTACGTTTTCATATCAAATGAAAAAAAGTTAATTAGTTAAAAGTTAAAAAAAGTTAAAATTTTTCAGCAAACTTAAGCTGAACTTATTTGTTTAGTTTTGTCATAGCTTTTATTTTACTCTTATATCACGTTCTGTTTAGGCATTCTTTTAGCTTGAGCATTTAGATCTTCAAATTCAGCATCTACTTTTACTCGGTGACTTTTGAATGCAACTATGTTCTAACCAATCAGTCAATTATTCAGTCAACAGCTCAGTTAGTCGCTCATCAAACACTATGTTGTCTAAGTTATGGGTTTTAGTGCAAAAAAATTTTTAGTTTTCACCGGGTGAAACAAAAAAATTTAATGTTCGAATTTTGTAGTTCTTTTATTTCACCTATTAGGTTTTGAGAATGATGTTTAAATTAGCATTTACTTTTCTGTTTTGGTGACATTTGGTTCACTTAACTTGTAAAGCATAGTTCAATAGAAAAATTGTTGTATGAGCCATTCATCTCTTCATGAAGTCTGCTTAGGACTTGTCTTCCTTACCCTTCCTTTTGTAAAAGGAAAGAGGACGGAAACAGGCGAAAAGCGGGAAGCGAGAAAGACAAGTGTTAAATAAATATATTTGTGTTTTGGAACAGGAAAGCAAAAACTAACTTAGCAAAAAATATTTTGTTGCTGCTATGCCTGGTAAAAATAGGATATTGAACATCAAATGGTGAAGCAGAAGTTAAAAATATTGTTCATTTGAAGGATTTTCTACAAAAGAGTGTGGAAATAAATTTGATACGTTTATAAGCATCTTAACAACCTCAAATATTATACTGTCTTCTTTGATGTCACATCTTGCTAGTCTTCCACTTCTCAACTCATTAGTGGCAGCAAACCTTTCCGTCTGGTTAAGTACTATTTATTATTGCTGTTGTGGCTGTTCTTTGAGAATGATCTTTTGCTGCTGTAAAAAAAAAAAAAAAAAAAAA